AACTTTCGTTTCTTATACCTATATTCATTTTCGCCGCAATCAAATTATTGGAATTAACATTTTGCTAATAATAACATGTTAATTTATTTGTGTTTCTTCTAAGAAATCGGTATTTTTTTTAATATGTACATTTTTTTTAAAGACAGTTTGCCAAGTTCCATCAGTAATGGATCTTTCAAAATGTTATGATTCTAAAGGCTTCAGCATTACCAAAAGGAATCTAAACAATAATAGAAAAGTAACAAGTGGAAGTTATTGTATCATTCAAAATATATTGAAACGAGAACAGGTCTTCACTTGTACAAATGGAACTTGGAACAAAAGAGGTACTTACGTTCCACCGAATAACGCAATTAAGGAATATTAAGACGACTCGCTAAAAACTTAAAACACCAATGAAACTGATGAACTCTACACCTTTTTTCGAAATGTCCAAAGGCGAACTATTCTGTTAAACGTAAAGGAATATCTGTTGGAAAAAAAATATTTATGATTCAACTGATTGAACAATCGCAACATAAAATTTCGTTCGATGTTCCTGTTTTATATATTTAATTTGCCTTCAAATATCGATTGGGATTTTAAAAATACTGAAACAAAAATAAGCATTTCTATTAGCAAATATGAAAATTGTAAAGAGCAAACTTGAAGCTTTTGCTTTTGGTTAATTTTTCGTTTCGGGAAATTATAGTATTCGAACTGCCTTAGCACATATATTTTTAATTGATAGGCATTATATAAAAGTTTTTGGTTGGCTTTTAAATTTAAATCAAACGTAAATTGTTAAGACTGATTACATAGATAAAACAACAGCAGAAAAAAAAGGTCAAATAGATAGCCTTTTTAAGTAATAACACTATTAAAATCGTCTAAATTAGCAGAAAATAAATTAAAAAATATATGAAAATATTATATTAAATATTAATTGTACGTGATTTATTTTATAACTTAGTTTTATATGTTAGTTCGCTTGTTTTTTTTTGTGTTAAAAAGAAAATGAATGACCAGTATATTTATCGTATATTTTTTACATTTGAAATCATCTCAGTAAAACGGTGCTCAAACTACACTGCTATACCAAATTCTATCACCACTTGTTCCCATGGCAACGCTTATGGCTCCGTATGCACAACAACGTGTAACCAGGGTTACGAGATAGAATCAGCGACAACACAGACGTGTTTAGAAGATCAGACATGGAGCGGTGTAACGCCGGTTTGTAAACGTAAGTAATACACATTACTTTGTGCTGGGTAAGTAACATCTAAGCTGTAATATTGAATTGGCTATTATTTAACATTGGCTTCGTAGAAAATTGTTTTTGCAATAAACTTAAATTTGGAACACATAGATTTTCACTTTTGAAAAATCTATGCTCTGTTTTTCAGTTATAATCCAATTTATTTTTACAGAAGTTTTCAAATTAGCGATGATATCAGGATCAAGAAAAAAACGTTTTTTTGTGGATACTGTTGTTGACGTCATAAGCAGTTTATTCCCATCAGGAAGCTGTACGTTATTTAAGTGCCAAAAAATATTATTTTAATAATGATAAGAAAATTATTTGTTTTTAGCGTAACTCGAGGTTGATTTTAGCTGGAATAAAAAAATCACATTATTTTCATTGTTAACTTCCGTTACCTTTCTTAAGTTATATATATATATATATATATATATATATATATATATATATATATATATATATATATATATATATATATTTACTCAGCACATCATTCGAATAAGTCACCTACTATATCATGTCCGGTAATTGAGACCACATACTACACTGACAGATCGGAGAATTCTAGATATGTAACTTGGAACTCAGCGACTGCGCACGATCCCGAAGATGGAAATATTAGGTATTTGTTTTCCAAATTACAAAATATTATGATTGTACTGATTAAACATTCTACCAGATTGTTTAACAAGCGAAATGAATAATTAGCGTATGGTATTTGCAGTTGTAATGTAGGTGTGGGCAGTGGCGTTAATAGGTCGGGTATAACCCGGTGCGGCATTTCGTTGTGTCAACCCCCAAGAAACAAAGTTTATAGATATCAATCGATATATATATATATATATATATATATATATATATATATATATATATATATATATATATATATATATATATATATATATATATTAAAAACATTACTTGTGTGTTTAGTAATCATCATATACCCGGCATTGCCCACCCTAACCACAACCAACCAAAACCAAAACAACAAAACAATTAGAAATACAAACGAAAACAAAAACCTAACATCAAACCCAACGACAACCACAAACATAAATAAAAACACAAAGAAGAAACAAACAAAAAAGCAAACGAAAACAAAAACCTAACAACAAACCCAACCTCAACCACAAACACCAATACAAACACAAAGAAAAAAACAATCGAAAAAGCAAACGAAAACAAACCAAATCCAAACGCAAAACCAACCACAAACACAAATACAAACACAAAACGAAAGAAAAAAACACAATCGAAAACGAAAAAGAAAGAACAAAAACGAACCAAATCAAAACGCAAACACAACCACTAACGCAAACCCAACCTAAACACAAAGAAAACACTAACCTGAACATAAACGCAAAGTGCTCACAGTCTAGCCCGGGGCGCCAAATCGCACCATGCTGTGGCGTTGGCGGAATTGCCTGTTTCAGTTTAATAAACGACTTTAGTACACCAACTTATTCATAGTCTTTTACACTCACTTAAACGAACGTAGGCGCCAAACCGAACACGGGAGGCCCGGGGTCCCAAATAGCACCCTGTCTGGGCGCCAGAGGACGCCCGGATACGATTCACTTAAAGACTATAATAACCTTTCTTATCCATAGTCAATTGCACTGTTTAAAGCGAAATCATGAACCATAGTGCTCACAGGTTAGCCCAGGGCGCAAACTCGAACCCTGCTGGGGCGCCGGCGGACGCGCCTGTTTCATTTTAGTGAACAATTATAATACTCCAAGCTTATCCGTAAACGGAAAGAAATAAACATTTAGGACATGAAGGACCTGGCTTTCTAACTGTTATTGATTAAAAATAATCAGAAGAAAACAGTACGTTCAGTGTATGGAATAAAGAAAATGCAGTATTAAAAATACCAATAACACTGCGCTTAATCAATCCCCGCTAATTATATAATTATTATTTTCCTAACACCAAAACAAAGTAATAAAAAGTACATTCTTTCTCCCCCCGATTTAATGGGTTTTTTTTAATGGAAGTAACTGTGTTTTCCAATTCAAGGGACATTATGAGAACTACAGGACAAAATGCAAATACATTTCAGACACTATTTTAGAAATTGTATAAACGTTGATACAATTTAAAAAAAAAAATTATGTAATGTTCATAATTGAAAATTATTATTGTAAGTATATAAAATTAAAATTGTTTTTAAAGACTTTCAATAGTAATTTTTTAACTCATAAATTTAGACCATGATCACTTTAATAATCTAACACTTGCATCCATCGACGTATCTTTTTTTTTTTCATTTTTTCTATTTCTTTGTAATCCACGACAAACATTTTACATACACACATACAGAATTGAATTTTATATATTATACTAGCCGTCCCGGCCAGGCCCTGCTCTGGCTTCTGTGAAAAACATTTCTGTTAAAGACCATTACCTGTGTGTTTAGTAATCATCATAAACCCGGCATTGCCCACCTAAACCACAACCAACCAAAACAACAAAACGCAAACATAACGCTAACACAATTATAAATACAAACGAAAACAAAAACCTAACATTAAACCCAACCACAACCACAAACACCAATACAAACACAAAGAAAAAACAAACAAAAAAGCTAACGAAAACAAAAACCTAACAACAAACCCAACCACAAACACCAATACCAACAAAAAAAACAACGAAAAAGCAAACGAAAACAAACCAAATCCAAACGCAAAACCAACCAAAAACACAAATACAAACCCAAACAAAAAAACACAAACAAAAACGAAAAAAGAAAGAACAAAAACGAACCAAATCAAAACGCAACCACTAACGCAAACCCACCTAAACACAAAGAAAACACTAACGCGAACATAAACGCCCGGGGCGGAATCACCTGTTTTAGCTTAATGAACGACTATAGTACCCCAACTTATTCATAGTCTTTTGCACTCACTTAAACGAACGCGCCTGTTTCAATTTAATGAACAATTTTAATACTCCAAGCTTATCCGTAAAATACCTACAACATTTGCACTTGATCAATCCCCGCTAATTATGTAATTATTTTTTTTTCCCAACACCAAAATAAAGTAATAAAAGTAAATTCTTTTCCACTAAATGCAATGGTTTTATAAAGGGAAGTAATTGTGTTTTCCTAATTTATCAAAGGGAATTAAGTGCTATAGGACTAAATAAAGACATAATTAGAATTTTTGTAAAAGATGATATTTTTTTAAAACTTGTGTTTAATGAACATGCCGACAATTATTAATATAATTTGAAAAATGAAAATTATTTCCCAACACTTTCAATGGTAATTTTTTAACTCATAAATTTAGACAAATGCGCACGATAATTGTCTAACACTTAAATCCATCCAAGACCAACGACAAACATATGTATTTTTACATACAGAACTGAGCTTTATATATTAGATTTATATATATGGTGGATTAGAAATGGAAATATTTAATTGATCAGGAAAAAAGCACACAAAATAAATTATGTTAATTTGTTATCGATCGTCTGCAACCGTATTCACAGGCTCCAAAAAATGGATTTTTACGTCATCTATCTATCTATTTATCTATCTATCAATATACTACTAAAACTCAAGTTTGTTTACATGTTTGTATATTTATGTTTGTCTGAGAAAATCTACACTATGTGTATAGCTATAAAATACGTATTTATGTATATAATAATGTTCGTTTTTACCTAACTGTTAATCTAACATTTATTTAAAGACGTTTATTAATGTATTGATGTATTCATTGGTAGAAACACCATTATGATAGATGTTTAGTAAAGGTTTGCAGTAGATAATATAGTGACCCTCGCTGTTTTAAAATAATTTAAAGAAAATCATTTCTTTTCTTATTAGTGCGGTTTTATTAAAGCTAGTTAAGTATGTAAAGTATATAACGGACAGGTTGAGAGAGAGAGAGAGAGTGATAGCGTTTATAGGCTTTTATATTTTAGTTACAAATCCAAAGGCGTACAGGAGATGGGGGAAGGGACGATTACTGGCGGTTAACTAAATGTGCTTACCTATGCCATTTTTTATGCGTTTTCAAATAAACAAAATATTTCAGCGTTATCAAAACAGCAGGCCCAACACCTGGAACTACTCTCGCCGAGGGCCAGTACACAGTCACTTACACGGCGAAAGACAGTGAGGGCGTTCAAGTTACATGTTCGTTTTCATTCACTGTCGTAGGTATGCTATCTGTTAATCAATACGAATATTGTATAGGAGAAAATATGTTTTTAAGGGTTTAAGGGTTCGGTCGCATATTCGAACAGGTGTATGATTATTTGAAATCTCGTATTGCTAAATTGAATTTGGGCGTCTAAGGTTGTATAGATCAGACTTAATTAAGTAGTTATTTGTATCGGCAATACGGGAGCAGCTTTCATTATTATTTTGATCGAAGAATATGTAGAGTTACAAAGAGATGTATGGATATATATATATATATATATATATATATATATATATATATATATATATATATATATATATATATATATATATATATATATATAATCAGTACGCAGGTGTTCAAAGGACTTCACAAGCACTAGCAATGGCATCGTGTTGTGTCAACCGACCGATTACCCCAATATTTATGGCAGCGAATGCTTCTACGTCTGTAATGATGGCTATGAACTGGTGGGTGTTTCACGATTAGAGTGTGGCATCAATCAGGATTGGAGTGCTTCCAAACCTGCATGCATGGGTAAGAACAATAATTTTTACTTGCACAAATTCTATGCCTTTTACTGCTAAAACCTGATTTAAATAACGGGCAATATTCTGCTCACTTTCTGAAAATTAATAATTTCATAATGATGCTCACGTCTTTTCTTTTTACTTTCTTGTATATACGAAGTATAGAGAAAGTCTTGTAATCGTGCAAAAAAAAATTCATATATAAGTATTTTATCAAAATCGTAGATCTTGATCAACTTTTAAGGGATTTCCGATAACCGGAAGTGGTACTTTTTCTACTTTGAATTTTTCAAAAGCCTATAACTTGAGTACTATTTCAGATAGATAAATGCAATTTCACATGTAAGTAAAAGATATAATTTTCTACTACCTGTCAAATTTTGAGTAATTTCCGTTTACCGGAAGTACTAATTTACGCTATTTCCGATTTCTCAAAAAACCCATTTAAATTTATAAAGTACTAATAATATTGCGCACTATCATGCACATTTTTTGTTTTGGCGTTCGCTTGGTGCGTAATCCTTTTTTATGAGATTCTATTCTATTTTTAAAAGTTTAAGTATTTAAAAATCATGTCTATATTCCAAGTTATATAAGAATATTCGAGAAAGTTTAGGGGAGATCACTCCCGGTTTATTTAATTTAATTTTTTAATTTTTTTAAAAATCTTATTTTCAAAATACTATGAATTATGTTGTAGGCCTAATTGGAAGACGATTGATGGCAGTGTAATGTTCGGCCGTAGTCTATATCTTGGGATAATTAACTTAGTAGCTTATTGAAAAATTAAACTAATTTAAAATATTTTTATGATTTTTAGATATGCTCTTTACTCTGGTGTGTTCACAATTTTTTTTTTTACTTGTATGTATAAAATTCAAAAATCTCACCTGACTTAGCTATATCATGTGGAAGCCCACCTAGCGTACCAAACGGCAATTTAAACTGTACGGCTAACACTTATTCATCCACTTGCGTGTTATCGTGCTCTGATGGGTATCAAGTAGATGCTGATTTCACAGTCCGATGCCAGGCCAATAAAAACTGGACTACACCTGGGAAATGTTTAGGTATAAGATGATAGCAATAGCAATGATTAATTATTTAAATTTAAATAAACAAAGGGTATAACATAACACTTAGATTAAAGGTATACGGTCTAACAATTTTCTTAAATTTTGTCCTATAAGTTTGGCTTTGGAGACTAGTGCAAATTTTGCTAATATCTCTGATGGTGGTCGATTCTAATATTTCGAAAACAAAATGCTGGTATTTAGAATTAATTATATGAACTTAAACCTTATAAAGAATAAGTAGCATGCGATAGTCTCTAATGTATTTTACTTCACTTTGTTACAAATTAAATTTATTATTAAAACCAATTTATTCATGTGTTTTTCTTATGTTGAAGTGGTGGGGTTGGGAGGATTATGTTATATAATATGAAGCTCAGAGTCTAGTGAATTATCTTACAGCGGTTGTTGAGGTAAAGCGCTTCAAAAAATGTACGTATTTGTGTTAGTTCAATCTAATTACAACTAGTTAAAAATATTTACCTAATATTTTTTTAAAATGTTGTCATGTTTAATGTAGATGTTGAGCCGCCTACAATCAACTGTCTACCAAACATTCACGTCCACGCTGGGCCCATGTTATCTGAAGTCAATGTTAGTTTACCCCTACCAAACACAACCGACAACTCTGGTGCCGATCTGGTGATTTCCAGTGATCTTCAGCCAGGTTCTTTGTTTGCTGTTGGCGACACACCCGTTATATACACAGCCATTGATGATGCCAACAATATTGGAAGGTGTGTCACATTGGTCAGTGTTACAGGTCAGTTTAATATTTGTTACCTATTTGTTTTAACTCTCTGTGTTTATCTGGTAATTAACATAACATTATAATAACAAAATAAAAGGTAGAGCGCTGAACAACTATTCTAAAATACGTATGATACGGACTTTAATATAGCCGACTCTGATTAATACCAAACTCTCTTTAGGGAAAATTAAGACGGATGAGCAAAACTAACGTCACTAACTGTTCATATGCCGTGAAATAAAATTGGTGAACGCCTTTTCATTTGTCAAAATGTCCGAAAGACAAACTTTTCTGTTTTACATAAATTAATATCTTTTTGAAACATAAATTATTTTTTACTCAACAGAATGAGAATAAACAAGCGTAACATTAAAGCTAGTTTATATGGAAGTTTTATGTTTGTATTCTATTTTAAATTTGGATTTAAAAAAAATTATATAACTAAAATCCGCAATTCGACCTGAAACTGGAACATTTTGCTTTTGGTTGATTTTTTGTCTCGTGAAATCATTAATATTGTAACTACTTTAGCGTATATTTTAAATTACCAAGCATTATATGAATGTTTTGAGTTGGATTTTTAAAAATTAAAAAACTAGTTTGCCTATTTAAGTTATAACAGTATTTATTTAAATTGTCAATATAAACATTAAATTTAAAACATAATTTGAAAACATTATATTAAATACTCATTGTGATTTATTTTTTATAACACTTGTTTTTAGTAATCTTTTTCTTTGAATTTTTGAAATAGAAAATGAATAAATTGTTTAAAACATTTTAAATCATCTTAGTAAAACGGTGCTCAAACTACACTGCTATACCGAATTCTATCACCACTTGTTCCCATGGCAACGCTTATGGCTCCGTATGCACAACAACGTGTAACCAAGGTTACGAGATAGAATCAGCGACAACACAGACGTGTTTAGAAGATCAGACATGGAGCGGTGTAACGCCGGTTTGTAAACGTAAGTAATACGCAATACTTTGTGCTGGCTAAGTAACATCTAAGTTATAAAACTGAATTGGCTATTGTTAAACACGAGATAAATGGCCCGTTGAGGGAGAAAAACAACGGGCGCTAGTTTGATAGTGTTGTCTATTTCTCTATATCAAAACCAAAATCACCACCTCAACTTCAAATTTAACCGGAAACGAAATTGTCATTGAAAACGGATTTGTATCCAGAATCGTATTTATGCTTGATCTACACGTAGTTACTGCACATTTGTACTAAGTATAGTCGTAGTCATACCCCTCAACCATGCACCTAAGCTCAATTATGACAAAAGTCGCATTTGGAATGTATGTAGAAATATACTTTTACCAGTGTCCGCCCCCTCCTCAGAATTTTTAGTATTTCTTAAAAAGTTAAAATATAAAATAAGCTCTAAATGTTTTGTGTTCTAGCAAGGGTTTGCGGTGCTCTGCCAGTGGTCGCCAACGGGAACCTAGTGTGCCCCAACGGACAAACTTTTCAATCGATCTGCCATCTTAACTGTGGCCCAGGCTTCAAGGCCCTAACCCCTTTAACCGTTACATGTGACATCAGCATACAATGGACCCCACCAGGGACATGTCTAGGTATACAGAACTGTTTGTGAAGATTTAATTGAAACAGAAACGTTTTTGTCATAATATTTAATGAACGATTTAGGATCTGATCACGCTATACAAATATCTAAATTGTTTTATATAACATAGGTTCTTTAACAGAATTTTAAAATGACGTATCTTAATAAATCGTTTTAAAAACTTGACTAGAATACAAGGATACTACATTACATAATAAAAATAGGGATCTTTAACCAAAGCAGTATAAATCGATATCGGTAAACTATATATATATATATATATATATATATATATATATATATATATATATATATATATATATATATATATATAAATATATATATGTATATAGTATTTATATTATATAGTATTTATATTATTTATATATACATATATATATATATATATATATATATATATATATATATATATATATATATATATATATATATATATATATATACATCCAGCTTTAATGTTTAATGAGTGTTGTATAAAAACAATATCCTAACACAACTTGCACAACTCACTAAAATATAAAACCAGAACTAACATTGCAGATATTGAACCGCCCGTTTTCCCCAACGGATGCCAAGCTGACTTTGAAGTGTTTGCCGCCAAACTTGGAGAAAACACGCACGTTACATATCAGTACCCTAACGTAACAGACAACTCAGGTTTAAGCGTCATACTAGTCAGCGCTCCTCCATCTGGTTCAAGTTTTAACAATGGCACCACAACAGTAAACATCACAGCTAAAGACGAGACAGGAAACTTGGCATCGTGTACCTTTGATATCATTGTGAAGAGTAAGTCCAATACTTACATTATTTGTCTGAACAAAAATATTGATAAAAATCGTTATGTATGTAGATTTTTTTTCGCATCGATTAAAAAAAATTAATTACAAATCTCTGTCGTGGCTAGGTAAATCATGCCCAACCCCTCATCTCGATAACACAGAGACCATCGTCTACAACTGTACAAGAGGATACGTGTATGGGGCGGAGTGTACGTTGTCGTGTTCTAAAGGAACGCCGGTCATTGGGTCACCAAAAATTACGTGTGATGTAGAAGGATCTCAAACTGATGTCCAATGGGTTTGGTCAGGAAATAGTAAACCCCACTGTATATGTAGGTTATTTATGTATTTACGTCAATGCTTTTATCATTCACTAATAGTCTATTGATTTACTGATAAGTTATATTTCTATTATATGTAACGTATTTATAATTGGATTGTGTGACTGTAATACGTGGTAGGCAATTGAATTCATTAGTTATTTATTTAATAACTGATTTTTAAAATATTAGCTTTAATATAATTATTAAGATACATTACATTTTTATGATAAAGATTGGACATGCAATTCAATGAATACTTGAATATTCCATACAATTTAGCACATGCTTGTAGCGTTCTGCCCATCCCAGCGAACGGTGCCATGAGCTGTGAGAAGTTGAGTCCAGCCGGTGAAGTCTGTGCCATCATGTGCAGCACAAACTTCACTTACCCGGCCTCAGCGCCGGAGCAGTACATCTGTTTCCCGTCTAACGGGCTCTGGAGCCCGTACTCATTTGTGCCAGACTGTAATGGTTAGTATGGAGTGTGTGACTTAAGTACATATGTAGGTGGTTTCAGATAGTTTTTAACTATTATAACAATAACAAAGCTAATAAAAAACACAAAAACCACATTTTAAAAATTATTTTCTAAACTTTGATGTTTTTGTTTTATAGAACAATTTGACATTACGCTATTTCCAAATTGTGTCTACTTATAGTATGCTATAATACGAAATCCTTAAATTCGTAATGCTAGCTTATTTTATTTTGGAAGCTATTGTGGGAAAACAATGTCTAAAACTATTATATCATTGCGGCATAGTTCGTATTGAACCTGGAGTGCTCATCACAAAACCAAGCGCCCATTTTTATTCTGGAACTTGCAAGAGTAACAGCAGTGAGATTGAGGAGAATTTCAATCAAATAATGTCCAGTCTGGGTCTACAGGATGCTTGTGATAACCAGTGCACAATCAATAAAGTTGAAGTCACTTGCGGTTCTGTGACAAATGCCAGAAGGAAAAAGCGAGCACGGATGCCATATGAATACACGGTACACTGTTATGTTAAAATATTCGCGTCAAGCCAAAGTAAGATTTCAGTTCTAGGTTTTACCATAATCATTTTTGCTTCTAAAATGCATCGTATAGTATAGTATTTTATATTAAAAAAAAAAAACATGAATTATTAAAATGAAAATCAATTTCTTGAGGTATATCTACGTTCTCGCGATTGAAAAAATGATCTCCAGTGTAAACTTCTTTGCAGTATTATCGAAAACTTGCCAGAATACATTTCTTTCTAAATATGACATATACCAGTTGAATGATCATATCCATTATTTAATTTATTGTATAAACTTTTTTTACTATGTGATTACTTTTAGATCTCACCTGTTATTTCATTTGGTAAACTGAATGCCACATCACCTGTCAGCTACTTTAATCATCTGGTCAATTCTGTGAGTGAGCATTTGATGAACTTGTCTCTCGCTGGGAAATTTCAAATGCCCGGAATTGGAACATTCTACTCATTTAGCCGTGGTGGGAGAACATATTCATGTCAACCAGGCATGAAGTTCATTCCAAGAACAATGGCGTGCGGTGAGTTTTTGTTATTAGAGCCTCGTAAACTGTCATGGACTGTTGGTTCTAGGCTTACCTTTATTTCATTACAATCTTACAGATTAAACGGTAAATTTATGATTTTTTTCTATGGTTACAATATTTTACTTTAGTGTGTGATAAATGGATAGAGGGGAGTGGGTCAGAGGCGTAGCTAGGGGGGGGGGGCGGGGTGAGGACAGCACCGGGTGACACCATTTACGGGGGTGACACCAAGGCAAAAATAGCAAAATATATAGAGAAAAACTTGAGGGGGGGGTGCAAATCGAAAACTTGAGAGGGGGGTGCAAATCGAAAGTCTGAAGGGGGGTGGGTGCAAATCGAAAATTTGTCACCTCTGGGGGTGACACCATTTAGTGCCGCACCGGGTGACACCCGACCTCGCTACGCCACTGGAGTGGGTTACGAATCGAACACTCTCAATTGATGTAAAGGTAACCAAGAACAAATAAGCACAGTCGCAACCATATCTAAAAGTTTTACAAACTGAACTTAATTTCATGGTTGATTTTTATTTGTAATCTGTTCGTAACCAAATGCTAAGCACATAATTAGGTTGGGTAACTTCTACGTTGCTATTTTAGTTTAAGTTATGTAGTTGCTAATGTCATTTAAACCAAATGTGTATATTTAAGACTTAAATTTTTATGTACAAGAATATTAACAACTGGTTGCTACTACGGCAAAAATAATTAAATATTGCCTCAAAGTAATAATAACCAATATCTTTAAAACCTATAACTGATAACAAACTATCTTAAACGCACGTGGTGATTTTAATTGTTTAGATTTTTAAATTAACTACAACATAGTTTAAGTACTGCAACAATGTATAATTGAATTGAATTCTTACGCACCAAAGCTGGGTGTGGTCCAGGCCACATGTATAGCAACCTGACCAGCCGCTGTGTCGCCTGTTCATCAGGGACATACCAGGACAAGGACATATCTTTCAGCTGCAGCCCATGTCCTAGCGGCTCTTCCACCAAGCGCCCAATGTCAACGTCCTTGAACCAATGTGAAGGTATATCTTGTCATTTCCGCTTCTCAAAATTTTAAATTTTTAATTACACTTCAAATATTTTTCAAAGTTTTTACGAGGTTAAATTTATTTTGTAAGCTTGAAAATAACTTTCCAAACTTAATTTCTAATTAATCATCAATAGATATATGCAGACCTGGAACATTCTCAGCCTCAGGGATTCAGCCTTGTGATCTGTGCCCTGTGGGAACGTACCAATCAAGTTACGGAATGAAATCTTGTACCTCTTGTCCTTTTGAAATGTTCACCTCACTACCCGGGAAAGAATCCGAGGAGGAATGCCAATGTAAACACAAACCGTTTTCATGGTTTAAATTCCAATATAGAATTTAAAAAAAAATAGAGTAACACATTAATTATACGCAAGAATATTATAGAAATTTAAACACGTGTATTTATATTTTTGAATTTCGAAATAATTTAGCCATGTTTACTATTTAAAAGCAGTTAGACTAAATTGAAGTAGTTGTAAAATCTCATGTGACATTAATTTTTTTATTCGATGCACTATTTCAAAATTAGTCTTCGATGTGAGAATCACAGACTTCAGTCCACGACCAATCATTCACCTTTCTGACCCAACATTGATGACCTTCACTTTCATGTCTTGGTTCTCGTCGGTTTCCACTTCAGAAATATCGACCTTGACATTCTCAATTGGAAGTGACCCCACTGAAGACGCTTTCCTGGCTTTCGATACAATACGAATACTCATCAAGCCAGGGGAGATAAACAGGTTTAGTAAGCTCAGGTAAATTTTATCACGATTATCTGTCCTATTTATCTGTGTAAAAACTATACCCAACTAGGAAATTGTAAGCTCTTACCTTATAACTAGTGTTGTTTATTCCCGAATTAGTCAAAAGTTAACTTTAACTGTTACATTTTTGTCCGCTGCTCATGAATATATATATATATATATATATATATATATATATATATATATATATATATATATATATATATATATATATAAACACATTATATGACGTAAAGCTTAAAATATTACCAATTTTCAATGTCGTTATTGGATTCGTGTTGATTCCAGAACATGGAATCATTTGGCTCTAGAATATAACAATGGTAACGTAACATTGTTCCTAAATGGAGAAGAGACTGACAGTAGTAGAGGGCATCTAGCACCCACCAATAACGATATCTACTTTCGCAGTTCTGAAAACATACACGGTACTTACTATGTAATCATTGCTACAATATCAAAATTTAACCTGTGAAGTTTTTATATTCCAATCAAATAGTTCATTCACTATGTATGTAATAAAGTGTATTTACTAAATTATAGTTGTTTTTTTTAATAAAATAACAAATACAGCAATCTTGGCAACTGGAATTCAGATGACCAGAAAGCTATACACTAGATCTGAGCTAATCGGACTAGGTACATCGTGCTCAAGACGGGTGGAAGAAAACCTCTTAGTTACCTCATCAAATTTTGTTATTTTATCCACTTCAACGTGTAACGGTAATTAGACTTTTTCTTAGTTAATTATCCAGGTAGCGTGAATAAATAAAAACAAAATAGATGGTAAGGTTAAGTATGTTAGGGATACTTAAACTAAAATGAAAGTGCATGTTTGGAATAAGGTTTTTTTCAGGCATCTCTTCGGGGATGGGGTAGACATTGCCAAACCAAAGCATGCTGCTTCCCTCCCACTACAATCCACCACACCCTCTACCTCCGAACGAAATAGAATCATTTTTAAAAATAGAAAATATGTACTGTGAACCCCCCTCCTTTCAGAACATCCCGAAAATGTATGTACGCTCCCCCCCCCCCACCCCCTTTCCTCCAGGTGCCCTACCTTTCTTAAAATAAAACACTGATTATAATATGGGCGAGTTTATTTTTCTACCTATATGACTTAAAGTAAACATTGTGAATTCTACTGAAAAGCAAAAGGATGCTTTAGATTTGTTACTTAAAAAACATTTTTTTTTAAACTTTTCTGGAAGCAGCTATCGACTACTGCAAAGAAGACCCCTGTGGCCAACACGGAGCGTGCGTGAGTGGAGCGGTCAGTTTTATATGTGTATGTGATTCGCTGTGGTCAGGGAAAACTTGCCAGACCCCTCCAGACTTCTGTGCCGGCAACTTGTGTGGGGAGGGATCGACATGTGTCAATCAACCGCAGCATTTGAACTTCTCTTGCTTATGCTCGCCAGGTTTCACTGGCGCCTTTTGTACGGAGGCCAAGTGTAAGTCCAGTAGATTAATCTTAAGTCAAAATTGGCCACTGCACAAAAGATTCATAGTATTTAGTTTGTATGTCTTGTTGTTTTATATCAACACTTACATCAATAATGGAAGCTGATCATTGATGTAAGTGTTGATTTTGTTTTTAAATTGCATCCTTTAAATAAAACGCCAAACGCATTTTTTAACTTGATTTAATGATCACTTGATTGGTTTGTTCAGAAAAAAAGAACAACAAATTAAAAACAAAAAGAAGATAATGTGTGGAAACAATAACTAGTTCCATCATTTAATAGTTATTTAATAAATTCTTAAAATTAAAGATATATTTAAATAAACTAATTACCATGGATTATTTTGAAGCATTACTTCCTGCTCGAAGCTGGGAAGCTTGGAGCCAGTGGTCCAGTTGTACTGTGAAGTGTGGCACCACACATAGAACCAGAACCAGGAACTGTGGGGAAACTGTCGTGGCGTCTGCCGACGAATATTGTCAAGGAGCTTCTAGTGAAACTGAGCCTTGCCCGGAAAAGTGCAGAGGTAAATATTTATCCCCTTTGCAATAAGTAAAAAAACCACAAAAAGCAAAGTAGTTATTTTACTTATTATTTTAAGAAGTTGTATAAATAAACCGTTGGTCTGGTTCAGTATGATAATTATTTTAGGAATACGATTAAAGGTTCATTCAAACTTTCAGACTGTCAATTTGCCACATGGACTGCCTGGACATGTGACGTAACATGTGGAGTTGGAGTGGCCAGTAGGTCACGTGGGATTAAACAAGAAGCGATCAACGGCGGGATGCCATGCCAGGGGTCAAACAGTAGTGTCCGATTGTGCTCACTCCCTGCCTGCCCAGGTAACGTTTGTGTTAACGCGTGCACAGGGTCTGTATCAAACATAAAATATTGAGATGTTAATCCTACATCAGTTCAGATATATGGCACCAAGTACGTTAATCTGCCCGGTTTTTGATAAATCGTTCAACAAGAATAAACGCTAAGGGATTTAAAAGTCAATGTGTTTAGTAATACTTTTTTTCTCCAAAACTTAAACAAAATACATGAATCCATAGTAAAATAATTTTTTGTATGATCCTGAAAAAAATCCTAAAATTAATCATATACCAGAAACAAAAGATAATTTGATTTTTACAAAAGACCTCCGCGTAGTTGTAAATATGGTTCTTATTGTTAAAACAGTTAACTGCCAACCTGGTTCTTACCTGACTACCAATGGAACCTGCAGCTTGTGTCAGCAGGGCTGGTACCAGGACGAATCTGGAAAAACCTTCTGCAAAGTTTGCCCCGATGGTATGGTTTATAAATTCTCGAATAAATTAGCGAACCTGGCAAAATTTTGTTAATGTTTATGATAACTTTATGCTGTTTAGAAAAAAACAACATGAAATTAGTTTCTAAATGAGCATAATGGCGTATAACCTGTTAACACTTTGGAGGAAATAACATAATGATCTAAGAAAAATATATATGTCTAAAAATTAATTGCAGGCACAACATCTGGTAGAGGATCCTTTTCACTTTCCCAATGTCAGCACCAACCACTTCAGTCTGAAGATGTGTATCCAGATATGCAAATGGGTGCATCATACAATCAAGAAAAGCCAACAAGAAAATGAAAGTAGTGGTGAAAAAATAATGTGTTTGTTTAATATTTTGTTTTCTAATCAAACCAGCACCTAAAACAATATACTACAATCACTTTCTACACAATTCTATAAGTTTTACCAAGTTTGGTTTAAGCGTATAGTATTCGTCAAAACCATTAAATCTTTTTAATTCAATATTTTCTTTTAGAAATTTTTCAATAGCTTTAATTATTGTATAATATTTAAGAGAATGTAATCATTTATTTACATCTATAATAGTAGTCCTAACTATTTTATCATGATTGGTAGTAATATTAAATTTATTTTTTAAATAGCAGGCAAAAGCAGAAGAAATGGAAATTTGATCGAGCAAAAAAATGACATTTTTGATCTGTTATCTTTTGAATTACTGTTTTATGTTCAATTTTAAAAATAAAATGTAAAAAATATTTTGACTAAAGAGATATTATATTAAATTATATGTAGATAACCTTTAAATTAATAAACAAAGCCAGACCCGATTATTGTAGTTCACTGTGTGTGTTGATGTAATTCCATGGTCACGTGAGTGGAATGAAAGGGGGTGGGGGGGGGGGGGGTGAATGGTAAGTGAGATAGCAAAGCGAATGAGCAATAGAGACAACCACAACAGAATATTTACTGACAGTTTAATAGGTACAACTACTTAAGCATATCTAAATGATAACGGCCCGATCTGAACGCATTATTGTGCGTTGTTGATATTGTCTAGTGATCTAAATTGAGAATAGCCCTACCAACAGGTACATTACTATTTTCCCACAAGAATCATGTGCTATAGTAGGATGTGGTGATTGACCGTGCCCTGGTGAAGTAATAGTTAATAATACTTTTAATAATTAAGCTATCACAAACAAAACAAAAAACAAATGTGGTCAAAATGAAGTCCTTGTATTTTTACAAGCTTTTATTTAACTCACTTCCTCGTCAGTCTGTCGTCAGTCTGTCAAGATCAAAACGGCCGAGCGAAAGTGCAGGCACTTCTGACAGATACAGCTCGTAATTAATACCGTGGGTCAAAGCATGAAGACAATGCATCATGAAATTTAATTTGACTTAATTGGTCGCCTAATTAATTTTTTATGAATTAATTAAAATTTTGACCACATTAGTAGGCATTTCAATCCAACTACTCCACTCGCGTCATCACGTTCAATAGGCGCGCAATGGTTTTTAGTCATGAAACTGCATTGTAAATAAAACATGTAAAGTACTAGAATTTTTTTTTCATAAAAACGTTTTAATAACAAGCTTTTATGTACTAATGCACAAAAAAGTAGAAAATAAATTATAGACTACTATTTAAATAACTATAAAGAAAAGCGTGGGTCTCTTCCTAAACATTAGTGAAGGTATCCAATAGATACTAAAGTGACCCACGATTTTCTTTATAGTTATTTAAATAGAAGTCTATAATTTTTTTCTACTTTTTAGTGCATTAGTACATAAAAGCTTGGTATTAACAAGTTTGTGCTGATTTTTTTTTTATTCAAGAGTTCTTAGTTAACTTCTGATTCGGGATTCCCCTTTATAATTTGAGAATGGCGATGCATAACTGCATGTAAGACCTCCAGTTCCAAAAGTCCAGAGATAGCAGTCAAAACAACAAACGTTTCAAGTCAGCTGAAATGTAGACAGGACTCACAACAATAAAATCTCAGAGTCTGTAGAAAAGCAGATTTGAGTCGCAATAAGAAGTTGGAATCAGTAGAAATGAAGATTGGAGTCAAAAGTTTGTAGTTAGTAGAAATGAAGGTTTGAGTCAGACAAAATAAAAGTTTAGAGTTTTTTTTTCATCTCTCAGATCCATTTTAAATGCTTCAAAAGTTATAAAAATTAGTTCGCTTTCAGAATAATATCAATGGCAATTGTTTTAGAAACCAATGCTTTAA